TGTAAAGCGAGATACATGTTTTCCTCCGTATTCCTAAGTTAGATTGGAAGATGGTGGAATTGCAACAGATATAATACACATATTTAATGGAAAGCCTTGTAAATTGTGATAAATGCCAACAACGATTTAATGATAATGAAAATTTTCCAAAACTATTACCTTGCTGTGGAATAACATATTGCCTTTCTTGTATTAATTCAACGCTTATCTATAACTCACTTTTACTGGCTTAAGGTTCAACAGAAACTCAGAGGTAAAATTAGCAGCAAACTTTACAACAGCAACAACCAAAATAATAAATTAAGTGTGATTAATGCGACAAAGTTTATGATGGTGTAGACCAACTTGTCTCCAATAATAAGCTTCTGAAGATTGCTCTAAGTCTTTAGTTTTCAACTAACCAGCCAATATTTAACAGCAATCATTCTCTGTTTCAGCCGAATTTCAATAACTCATTCAGTCAAAAAAATACAGTAATGAATAATACTTATATGGGTAGACCACCTTTAGCATAAACTCCAGTCAGGAATCAACAGATTCCATAGATGAATCTAAGTATACCCATGAATATCTAAAGCATGGAAAGTGATGATTATGGAACTAGATGTATGGTTCACAAGCATAAGGAACTTGAATTCTTCTGCAGAACATGCTCTTCTTTAGTATGCTCAAACTGCATGTTTTATGAACATAACGGACACGCTTTGTCTCAATTAGAGGAGATTAATGGCCTCCTTATTCACAATATTACAGATCTCTAAAAACAACTCTCTAAGTCAAGATCAATTATAAATCTTAACAAATCTCAACTTGAAAAGCTTCTGTAGTAAGTCACCTTTCTGGAGGATTAACAAGTTGAAAATATTGAAAAGGGATTTTAAGCAATTATACAGAGGCTTAATGAAAAAAAGCAGGCAATGATGGCGGAAATGACTATGAAATATACTTCTGAAAAGAGAAAGTTTTCATAGTAACTCAAGGAAGTGCTAAGAAACGATGAATTCTTGAAGGATATTGAAGAAGCATATAAATAGTTACTAAAATTTATGGAGGATAATCATCAAACTAGAGTATTAGTGAGACTCAATGATATTAATGACTATGTAAGTAGCTCTATACTAAAGACTGATGAACTGATGAATCATGAGAATAAGTATGATCTTAAAATGGATCAAACTCTTACTCCCATGACTCTTAACGTGCATTGAGCAATGGAAGCCATTGGTAAATTTCACATGAATCATCCCTTAGCTAATGATAGCGGCTTTCTTAAAATAAGACGCAATAGTGAATCTTTGAACCCTATAAGTCCTCAATAATAATAGTAATAATAAACCCTTAATCAGCATTCTTCGTTAGATGAGAACAGAAATCATGTTTAATCTTAATAAGATATGAATACTAACTTCTAGATGCAATAATAATCATTCAACAATACAAGTGCTGCACAATCTCCCCTAGTTAAAATAAATTCTAAAGTCCCTCCCTTAAATCAGAACATGCAATAGTACGTGTTTCCTCATTAACACCAAGTCTCCAATAGTAATAACAGTAATAATGGCACTGGAAGTGGAATAGGTTAGAGATTCATTAATGAGTTCAGTAGTAATTTCAATCCTTAGAGCAGTGAAATGAGGAGAAGATCGCAGTTTCCTGATCTGATTATCAAGAAAAATAGACCTCTATACAGCTAGTTTACTTAAATGTGAAGCAAAATGCATTAAAATACATCTCTCAGTAGAAACTATGAACTTTATAGCTATAAATAACTTATCGGTATTATTTTTTTCAATTTTATCTTAATTTCTTTTATCAAATAAATTATTTTGCATATAGGGGTTTTGGGGTTTTGGGG